TTGTGGGCCGAGGGCGGGGCCGGCCCTGGCCTAGGGGGCGTGGCCAGATGGTGAACGTGACAGCGGCTAGGGAGAGTGAAGGGGGTGTGGGTGAGGATGGGGGCTGGTGGGAGTAGGAGGGGCCTAGGTGTGACCGGAAGGGCATGGCCTGGAGAGGGGTCAGGGCTTCCCTGGCAGGTAGGGCGCTTTCCCTGGTCCCTGCCCTGGGCCTTAGGGGGAAAAGGAATTGCTATCCAAGGTACTGATCCAGCTCCACCTCCCTTCCAATGAGTGGCGTTGGATGCAAATATTAGTTGAATAGAGTGCCAGGAGCCCGGGTGGCCCAGTGGTTAAAGCTCTCGGCTGCTAACCAAAAGGTCGGCGGTTCAAACTCCCCAGCTTCTCCTCAGGAGAAATATGTGGCAGCCGGCTTCTGTAAAGATGACGGCCTTGGAAACCCTATGGGGAGTTCTACTGTCCTATAGGGTCGCTATGCGTGGGACTAGATGGCAACGCGTTGTTTTTGAGCAGAGTGCCTCTCTACCTGCCTATCTTTTTTTGCAGATGAAGCGCCCAAAATTCACAATCCAAAAATCCCAAAGTGGACAATTTTCTGCATTATGGTCATTCCTTTGATCGTGCAGTGAAAGCATCTGGCTCACTCTGCCTTCTCCAAAAGAGACAACCAAAGGGACCCCACCCTGAGCACAAAGTCCCTGTCTCTTCAACCTCATCCCAGACGTTCACCCAGCAGTTTCTTACTCTTACCCAGTGTTATGAACTGAATTGTGTCCCCGCAAAATATGTGTTGAATTCCTGGCCCTTGGACCTGTGGGTGTGATCCTGTTTGGAAATAGAGGCCTTCTTCTGTTAGGTTAATGAGGTGTAGGGTGGAGTCTAAATCTAATCACTTCTAAGTTATAAAAAGGCCAGCACAGAGACACACACAGGGGGAGACAGATGCTCCTGAAGGACCTGTCTGCATGAAAAGGAATGCCAAGGATCTGGCGGATGCCAGAAACTAGGAGAGAAGCTTACAGAAGGAATCAACACAGCGGAGACTCTGATTTGGACTTTTAGCCTCCAGAACGGAGAGAAAGTTTCTGTTTTTTTAATACCACTTGTGGTATTTGTGGAGCCCTGGTGGCACAGTGGTTAAGAGCTTGGCTGCTAACCAAAAGGTTGGCAGTTCAAATCCACCAGCTGCTCCTTGGAAACGCTGTGGGGCAGTTCTACTCTGACCTAGAGGGTTGCTATGCATTTGAATGGACTCAGTGGCAATAAATTTGGTTTTTGGTGGTATTTGCATTACAGCAGCACTAGGTAACTAAGACACACAGCTTATGTTTTCTGTGGTGTGACGGGATAGCGACAGTAACTTTCTCACGGGGTTTTTGTAAGGATTAAAAGGCCATATAAAACACCTTAGCATTATAGTTGGTCCAAAATAGGCAAGAGATAGCAGTTATTGTGTATTCACAGAAACAAGGACTAAGGAATTAGGCTTAAATGCTAGACAATTACACAATTAAGCATTTTGTGTAAATCTAAGTAATGTATTGTAAACGCCCCTGTCTTTTTGGCAGAGTATCTTGAGCATATCTTGACCTTGCTGCCTCTGGGTCCTCAGAGTGAGCGTTTTCTTCTAAGATGGGTGCCAGAGCTAGATGGAGGTTATCCCTGGTGGGGGCCCGGGGTTCTCTCCTCAGAAGTGCTCTGTGAGCCTTCTATTTATTGTGGGCTCAGGAGCATGGAGGAGGGACTACATGGCTGCTTGTTGACCAGTGGTATGTCCTCCTGGACAATGCCACTGGGCTACTTTTGCAAAATTACCTTTGGAATTTTCAGTTGAAGCAGTTTTCATTCTTCTACTCCCTCCAAAAAAGCTTTCTGGTTGCTCTCCAATGCCTTTGCACTCCAGAGCCATGGAGAGGGGAGGTAGTTTGCTGGTGATGCCTTCACTAGGTACTGGCCCTTGTGGTGGTGGGAGGTAGGGCAAACTGTGGGTGTGTCAGCTTGTCCTCGTGGGTACTGCCCCTGGCACTCATTTCAGGAGTGGGCACCAGCTGCACCTCTCTCTCTCTGAGGGACCTGGGTTGGGGTTATTTGGGGGGCACCTTCTCCCAAGCCTGAAAACACAACTTTGTAAAAGAACCACACTTTGGTAGCCATGATCCCGGGTACTTGACTTTTCTCCAAGACTGTAAATGTTTGTCTTACTTTGGAAACAGTCACAAGCAGCACTGACAAAATAAAAGCAGCTTTTTAAATGTTGTAACACTATTCAAGGTTCAGCAATATACCTGTCAGGGCCAAATGCCATGAGTACGTGAAGCACTAGAACAAACTCTCCTCTGAACTTCCTGCAGCCAACTGTTAGGACTCGTCTTACTCCTCTGCCTGCCTCACCCCAGGACTTGTTCTCCTGGATGTTCAAGCCACCCCTCTCCACCTAGAACGTAAGCTTTGAAGGGCAGGAACAGTGTGTCCCTCATCACTGTAACAGTAATAATGACAACAACAGTCCTAGCTGACCTTTACTGAGTGTTCAATATATGTTACGCTCTCTTAAGACTTTTTTATATATATCTTATTTAATCCTCCTGATGATATTATGAGGTTGTTCTTGTTAGTCGTTGTTGAGTCAGCCCCTGCCTGACTCACAGAGACCCCTGCCTGCACAATGGAACAAAACACTGCCCGGTCTTGCACCATCCCTATGATCAGTTGCAGATCGGGCCTTTGTGATCCATTGGGTTTTCATTGGCTTATTTTCGAAAGTAGACTTCCAGGCTTCCTTCCTAGTCTTTCTTAGTCTGGAAGCTCTGCTGAAATCTGTTCAGAATCATAGCAACACACAAGCTTCCAATGACAGACAGGTGGTGGCTGTGCATGAGGTACATTGGCCTGGAATCGAACCCAGGCCCTCCCGCATGGAAGGCAAGAATTCTACCACTGAACCACCAGTGATCCCACCCCATAAGACAGGTACCATTATTATTCTCCTTTGGCAGATGAGAAAGCTGAGGCATATGCAAGGTCATACAACCAGCAAGCAGCGGTTAAGCCTGCTGACAGTGTCATACGCCACCACCACCTCTGCTGCCTCACTGTCACTGAGAGCCCTGTCCTACATCAAGAATGCTTGGTAAATGCTGGTCGATGGAACTGTTGAATGACTCTGAGGAGCCCAGATGGTTTATGTCCAAGATTCTTTTTCAGATGATTTATTAGTTGAATGATGATCTTAAAAGACAATGCAGCAAGAGTCTGTTAATAGTAGTTTAAGGAAATCCAGTAGCTTGTCATGCCTAGCATCATCCACTTTAGATCTGAGAGGAGGTTTGATGCCTCTTTGTTAAGTGTTGTCATCCGCCGCTTGTACACACCTGGCTTCAGTTTCTCCCAATTCTGGTAGTTTCTTTCTCCAGTGTCCTGAGGATGGAGGCAATGCTTTGCTGGATCTTGGGTCAATGTAATGGATGGATTCATGGTAAGTTTTCCCTTACTTGGTGAGATGGCTCTGTCCTTCATTACATTTGCTGAAATTGACCATTACCTACATGACCTTGTGTGTAATAAAAGAATTTGGCTGGGCTTTGTCTCCAGTTTTTGGGAAGTAACCTCTAGATCCTTGAAATTTCCTGACTGATGGAGTATCTTTGTTATTCATGCTGGACCTCACCTGCTGGTTTACACTAAGATGTCTCATGGTGGTCCCTAGATAAGTTATGCTAAGGAGATGACTCAGGATGGGGGTTGGTCCTGCCAGAAAGACCAACCATGTGATTAGAGGGTTGGGGATTTGAGCCATGTGATATCAGTTCCACCTCAGGGTAGACTGCGTTCAACCATGAGGGTGAGGATTCAATCAATCATGCCTATGTGATGAAACCCATAAAAACTCTGGACACTGAAGCTTGGTTAAGCTTCTTGAGTTGGCAGTACTCCACACATGCATTGCCACGTATCGACACTGGGAGGGTAATGCCTCCCTGAGGACACAGAAACTTTGTGTTTGGAACCCTCCCAGTCCCAGACTTCCCCCTAGGTGTCTCTTGGCTGCTTCTAATTTGCATACTTTCACTATAATAGAATTGTAATAGCAAGTTAAGCACTTTCTGAATTCTGTGAGTCATTCCAGTGAATTCTCAAACCTCAGGGTAGTCGTGGAAACATCTGAATTTGTAGCCAAGCTGGACTGAATTGAGGGTGGCCCTGGGGCCCTCAAACTTGCGCCAAGTGTCTGAAGTGAGGGCCTTTGGAGACTGTTCCTTCTGACTGTGCAATGCTTCTTGCCATAGCTCTGAGAATTCTGAAATTAAACTGAGTAAAGTAAGCTACAATCTGTTGTTTAGCTGCTTACAAAGAATTCTCAGCTTGTCCATAAAAGGAGTGAATAAACTGTCATGAATTAGCTGCTTACTCTGGATATTTTTAACATAACTGTTGATGAGATTATGGGGCATGATTAAAATGTTGGAACCTTTTATACCTAACTACTTTCCTAAGTGCTACCTAAAACACGTAATCACAATTAATATAGTGATTAGAGTTGTACCATAAACGTTTCTGGAAGCTCATGAAGCTGGAAGCTTGGGAACACTAACAACTCGGTTTCTAGTAAGAATATTTGCACTCTGCATGAAACCAGCAAGGTAAATATTTGGAAGGGCGAAGAATAATGATAAGCAGGTTCCTGAGATTTTTCTTCTCATTGATTCATCATGTTGGTAGTATTTTCAATCTTTTTACTCCCCATTCTTTTTAAATGAAAACATGCAGTGTATAATTTGCCTCTATACCAATAATATTTTTTTTAAATTGAGAACTCAGAAAAAAGCAGTGATAAAGACATTTTATTTCTACTTTACTTCTACTGGAGACTTAAAAAAAAGAGATAGAGAGAAAGTAGTAACAGCCCCTTGGGTAATAAGGGCAGAAAACTCCACATCCAGATTTGCTTTCTGTTAGTCAAACTCTGATCAGCCACGGAGAAGACAGTCGGCAGGCTACATATGAAGTTACCACACTTCTAACGACTCTGTCAGGAACTCATTATTAGTGCAGCATTTCCACATCAGAGCCTTCAGAAAAGTAGTACTGTCTGAGTGAGTGTGGTTACGTGGTACTTATAATGTCCTCAAAGCCAAAAACACTCCGCTTGGTAATAGTTGCATTTTTGTTCTTTGACTAGGAAGTAGTTATAGTGACAAGGTACAAAAAATAATAAGCATGCAGCCCTTTATTTAGATTTGCAAAGTCTCTGCTTATACTTCTGTATATTACATGACTGTGTTATACAAATACATTTATTTACAAAACACTACAGCTGTGCAAACTTGTTGCTTTTTAAAAATTTATGGATAGTCCCATTTCTGCCCATCCCAATATATACTTTTAAAGCATGCATAAAAATTAACTTTGGTGTGGGAAAACTACTCTATGTGCTGTCACATACAGTATTTTTATGTCTATTCATATTTATATATTTACAAAAGTTTGTCAGTTTACAGAACCGTACAGAAGTGTACATTTTAAGATCCACAATGCAATAGTATGGGTTACCAGGTCTCCAAAAACAAAGAAGGGGGTTAGATACTGCAAACAAAACAATGAGAAAATCCCAACATGTTAAAAGAGAAGAAAAAAAAAAAAAGGAAAGAAAGAAAACTAGCTTGCTTGGGCTAGCAAATTATTATACATAATTTCCATGGCAGTGCAATAGGTATGATAAACTGTCTTCTACACGTGTTTCCCTGCTGGCTTGTGTAGAAGTTCATTGGCTTATTGTCTCGCAACACTACTTTCAAATCTACAATGCTATAGTATCAAAATGTTTTGGCAAAAAAGATCTTGAAAGGAACCATGAAGTTTTGACAAAAATAGAAATCTGTAATAAAGCTAAATAACACTAAAATAAAAGGAAAATATTATAGTATCTGTTTTACAATTTTGTATAGTCCCACTGTGTATCTCTGTTCACTTCTAGTCTCCGTAATGAAAAATATTTTTATACAAAACATACTAAAATTCTGGAATCATACATGTTTTACACGCTTAATACATTTTTCCTCTCACACACCCAGCTCTCTCACCATACTCTCTTGTAACACATGCTGGCTTCATTTAACAGGTATGGAATACAGACAGTAAACACTATGTAATTACAACAGCAACTCAGTAAAAAAAAAACAAAAAAAACAACAACTCACTTTACTGAAATCTGTGAATCCAGTATTTAGCACATACTTAGCATTAAGCCTCAAACAATACAGCAATATGTTACGTTCTCTTGTGAAAACAGTTGTTGCAGACCTTTAAAAATTTTTAATACAACTCCAACTCATGCCTACTAGGATTTGGCCTTTAAGGGGTCTCCTTTGCTGTGGATGGGGTGGCTTTGCTTGAACTTCCATTCTGTGCTTTGTAGCTGGTGAGGCTGGGAGTGTGGATGGTCCTGATGCTCTTGGCACCTTGGTTCAGGGAGGTGGGGGAGGCAGGGGACGGAGGGGAGGAGGAGGAGGAAGAAGCGGCTGCTCGGCCATTTTGAGTCTGCAGTGAGAAGGGAAGATGGTGGCCTTTCCCTGGATGAGGGGGGCTCTGAAACTTTAAGGAGCCATTAGAGACAGAGGGGATGAGGGAGGCGGAGTGAGCAGCTCGTCCTGGCTGGGGGCTGAGAGGGTTAGAAGAAGTGACTGACGGTTTAGTAGCAGGTGGGTTAGGGGGGTTAGAGCCGTCACTACTAGAAGAGGGCAGAGAGCTGCCTTTCCCAGAGCTGGGAGAAAGGGCCGGAATCTTAGAGGCAGGTAAGGAGGGGGAAGTAGGCTTATAGTCCCCACCAGCTTTCTTAGCACTTCCATTAGCCTGTAAATAAAGATGGCGGGAGACAGTTTATCAGAAAGCTGGTAACACGATCAATCCATAGGGCCTGGCAACACAGCCCTTTTGAGAATCATTAAATAAAAGAAAATATATATATATACAGTTCAAAGCCTGAGCTAAGTCTTGCTGTGCTGTACTGAACCTGGTAGGAACCCACAAAGTACATAGCAAAGGATAGACAGAAGAGAAAACAAGGAAGAAGAGCATTCGTGAGAACAGTCACATCATTCCAACTACCATTACCGTGGACTAGGTCAGCCATGCGTCTGGATTATTACTGGGGGCCGGGGGGCACCGTGATGGAGAGTTAATGTGCTTCTAATGCAATGCAGTCAACATACACGTTAGTATGGGTGACTTTAAGGGCAGTTCAGTAACAGGTTTGTCTGTGTTCCCCGAGGTGTTCTCATGAACCACTACATTCACCAAAGAAAGGTTAACCGGGCTGGCACCATTGTGTTAAGTGCTAACATTGGAGTCACAAAGTAAAAGATGTTTTATTGCAAGCATGCAAAAGCGTGGTGAGAAGTTTCACAAAGATCTTTAGACTTTCTTCATGCCCCCAGATCCAGGATGTCTACATAAACCGTATTTTACAAAGGAACCACACTTGGTATAAACTAAGTCAGCAACTTGATTCTTAACGGCAAGATTGTCCATCCAAAATTGGGTTTAAGGTAAAACTACCTGACGATATTGGCGGGGATCCTGCAGTTTGGACTGTTTGCCGGGTTTCTCCATGCTTCCAGGTCTGTTCTTGGAACTCATGGGTACCGGCATCCTGCTGGTCTGTGGGGTCCCACTGGAGCCCTGTGGGAAGGAAGAGCGAGAGAGAGAAGAGAAAGCCATCCCATGAGTGAATGATCCCAGAGGCTCGCCCCACTGTGTGCAGAGAAGCTCAGTGTGAGAAGCCATAGCCCTGCATGCAGGACAGACCGAGGAGAAGGACATCAGGAGACACCACTGAGGTTAATTCAAAGAATCATACAGAATCAACTGCTCCACTACTGATCAAACAGATTTTAATGTGAGTACCAGAGCAATCATTTCACACAGCAAATGGCTGACCCAGAATCCTTGCATTTACCCAACACCAGTCAGCAACAGACTTAATTAGCGGTTAAGACACCTAGTTGTTGTTGTTTTAAAGGTGAGGGATAAAGTGTGAGAGAGGGATCATGGCGAACAGACAAAACAAACAAACAACAAACAAACAAAAAAACAAAAAAAAAAAACAAGCCACCTGAAAGGAAGCAAGTAAATCACAAGACATCTTTGGCTAATGGTGATTATGGCAGATTTAAGAAAGCAGCTGAGTCTTTTCATTCTCCATCAGACCAAGATACCTTACGTGAAGCTGAAGGTATTGACGTGGGGGGTTCTAGGGCAGTGGGAGCTTCATCCAGAACTAGCAAGGTTTGGGGAGAAGCCTCTCGAGTTATGTGGGATGAGCTTGCAACAGAATCTTTGTTGGAAGTACACGAGGTATCAGCTAAGGCTTTGGGACTCATTTCACTGATGGTATTTTCAAGCTGTTTAATTGTCTGCTCCAGGCTGTCCAATGTTTTGTAGGTATTTTTCCTAATTTCATCAGTTCTTGAAATCTGAGATGTGCCCTCTAGACTGGGCTGCTCTTGTTTCCTAGCCATACTTTGTGGGGCATCCTCAGGTTGAGACCTTGAGATTTCGAATCGCTTGGCTTCTTTGTGCTGCTTCAGAGTACCATCCTCTTCCTCCTCATCATAGACCACCACCTGCAAAGTCTTCTTCCCCGTTTTGGTTCCAGTGCGGATGGCTTGAGTGAGAGCAGCCAGTTGCTTTTTAGGGAATTTGAATTTGAATTTTTTCTTGGGACTTTCAAATTGGTCATCTGTTGTGTCACACTTGCTCTCTGAACTTGGAGAATCTGCTTGGCTGAACTTACTCAGTTCAGTTTTACTCCTTTCCCGTCCTCCTGGTATTTTGGTTTCTGCTGGCAGGGAGTGTGGCTGTAATATACTCTTGGTCTGCCGTGTTGATGTAAGACTAGCTGAGGCAACATTCCTATTAAACATTTGGGAAGGGTTATTCTGGACTACGGTGTCTCCATTTTCCTCCTCTTCCTCCTCCTCTATCTTTTCCTCAGTCATCATTCTCTCTAATTCTTCATCACATTCCTCAAATATGGTGGAAAGTCTCTTATAGGCAGAGCGGATGTCCATGGGCTCATCAAAAATGATGATTACTGGTTTCTTGTCTAGGCACACGACTGGCTCTTCATTTCCAGTCCCTCCTTGTTGGGAGGTCAGCTCTTTTTTGGCATCAATATTAACGGTCTGTATATCTTCTCCCTTTTTGCTCACTATATCATGGACCTCCCCACTGGACAGAACCTGGACAGCAGTTTTGGTAATCATGAAGGCAATGTTGTCAGAGGGCGCATTTTCTTCCATGGGAGAACTTGATGTTGATTCTCCCTCCTCATTAGTCTTCAGGCTGGCATGCCTAGTGCCCTTGGGTCTTAGAATGACTTGGCCAAAATCTGTCATGGAAACTTCTTGATCTTGTGTTTTGACATCATGGATACTCAATTCAGTTGATCTAGTAGAAGAGAGAAGGTGACACTTAAGTGTGTTTTCTTGTCCTTGTTGATTCATCTCCTTTATCGTTCCATAATTCACCTTCTGACTCTCAGTGTTGAGTGTAGGGGTCAGCAGTCCTGAAACTTTTGGCCCTTTGCTTATTTCATCTTCTAAGGAACTAATGCCAGAGACATCGGGGTTGACTTTAGACACATTTTTCTGGGAACTGTCTCTAAGCAAACTCTGATTGGACATAGAATTTTCTTTCATTAAAATGCCAGCTTTATATTCTGATATTCTTGAGGCATCAGATACACTATTCTCCATTCCTCTTTCCCACTTGTCCTTCAGATGGTCACTAAATCTTAGTGCCCCTGCAGTAACCTGGGAGGGAGAGTGGAGGAGGGAAACCACACACATTAATCAGAAATGGATCTGTAAAGGAAGATAATTAATCTGCACGGTATCAAGTGGAACATATATCTGGTGAACTCACCTTTTGGAATTCCACTTGGGGGGCATTTTCATAGTCAACATCAGATTTCCGTACGTCTTCATGGAAAAATTCCAAATTCTGGTAGAATAGTGTAGGACATGTTACTCCACAAAACCACATCCCCCTCTAAAGTGGACTATAACTAAATTGTTCCTTTAATTACACTTCCAAAACATGCTGGCCAAGCACATATGTTACACACCAGTCCAAAAGCCTATAGCTCTGTTTACCTTGGGTGGCTTTGTTCTCCAACTTCCAAAAATGCCCTGTGTTTGCACAAGATGAAAATCTCAATTAGCAAAATATTTCAAGGATTTCAGATTTTGTGGGGGAATAGTTAAGAGAATGAAGGAACCAAATCTGAATTAACACATCCTCTTTTCAACATCTGATTATCAGCTTAGTGGAAACTAAAACCAGAAGAATGGAGAGCCCTGGTAGATGCCCAATGTGTTGGCAGGCAGAAGACTCAGATTCTAATGCAGATCTGTCCCTTTGCCGTGTTACTTTGGGCAAGTGATTTCATCTTTCTGGGCCTCAGTCTTCTTGCCTGTAAACTGAGGAATTAGACCAGGAAATCTTTAATGTCCTGTCCAGCTAGTTATTTCAGCCCTATCCCTGTTTTCTTTATGGAAATTTTCCTATAAGGACATTTGCATTGGTTGGGGGTGGTACTCTGAGATTAAAAAACAACATTATTTCTTCCTGGTCTAATGACAAATTTAAAATGAACTTGTAGTTTGTACTGCCAAGTTAAAAGTGTCAAAATAACTTTCAAACTAATAATAGCCAAGATGGTTGAATCCAATTTTATAGTGATTATGCTGCCAAAATATAATCTAAACATTTACAAAACAGACATTAGATGCTCATGACTGTGGCATGTTGACTCCACTTTCACTCTCTACATTCTCTGATGCAGGGTGAAGACACACATCTGAGGGTCTCATCAACCATCAGTACTTACTGATCCCACAGTGAGGGTGCAGGCACTGAGTGTGCTCCAGCAGGAAGCACCGCTTTCCAAGCATGGGTGTAGCAGTAGCTTCAAGCCCTGGCACAGGCTACTCACTAGCCGTGCCTTGTCCCTTCCAAAGCACTAATGCCGTTTCTTCTTGATGCAGAAGCCCAAGAAGAGGTGGGAACACAAACCCCATGAAGGCCATTTGGTTAAAGCAATCACAACATAATAAAGCACAATAATCCAGGGAGAGCCAAAGTCAACCCAGAGCAATCCTACTGCCCTGGCTAAAAATGGAAAGAATGCTCACACATACTCAAGGAATGACACATGAACAACAAAGTCAGTATTAATCACTGGGAACACTGTAGAAGATGCAAGGTGCTTTAGCCACCTAATCCCTTCTACTCAACTTCCCCTTGCACCCCCAAAACCCGCAGTCAAATGCAACGATTCAGCTGCTGCAGTTGGACAACATAATTTCTTTTGAGGGATTTTAAATTTAGATTACAGAACAACAAACACATCTAGGAAGAGGTTTTAAGAAGAAAAACAAGTGAAGCCTCAGCCTATGGTTTCAACTCAAAACATGGAGGTTAGTATATCACACTTGAGTGAGAATTTACCCCCTGAATCAAAGAAGGAATTGAGATGTAATCCAAACAGATACATGCACAGTTGATACTTGGCTGGTCCCATTTACTGGGGGTTAGGGCTGGCATCTGTTCTGAATGGTCAGGGCCCATGCCATACTCATTGTTAAATATTTCGAATGTCAGTCTGCAATCTACATATTTTAAAATTGATTAGTAGTAGGGTACTCCAATAGATAGTCATGAAGATAAAAATGTCAAGTTTAGGTTTTACATGACCTATCATTTTTATCACTGGGCTAGAAAAAAGAACAAACGTATCAAAGCAAGCATGCCAGCTTTATCAAGAGTAATTTAGTCACAGAGCCCTGGTGGTGCAGTGGTTAAGTGATATGGTCGGCAGTTCTAATCCACCAGCCACTCCTTGGCAAACCTATGGGGCAGTTCTACTCTGTCCTCTAGGGTTGCTATGGGTCGGAATCGACTGGACGGCAATGGGTTTGGTTTTTTTGATTTAATTTGGTCACGATCTTCATACAATTCCACAATGAATTAGGGAGTTAAGAATCTGTGTGAAAGGTAATTATGCTTCTTTAATATCTGTTTATAGGCCCCAAGATTTGGATTGTTTAGACAATTGGCAAATGATGCTTAATGTGCATATGGACAATAAACTCAAATTAGAGACATAGTTACAGGAAAATTGCATAAAAGTGAAGTACTAGGCTGGCACTTTCTGATAGGAGAAAAATTTTAAGAAAACATTTGATTCATGGAAGGTGGGTGGATAGTCCAGGAAGAGGTTAATAATAATAAAAATTTGGGGACAGGTTTGATACTCGTGTTTATGATGAAGTAGTTTATGATTCCCTGGGTATAATTATCCAGACTAAGACTCTGTGATTGATCCCAGCTAGATCTGGGCACTCAGTAAAGACCTGTTGAACAAACTGGGATAAATGGGATACAGATTTCTAAATAAAGGGCAAGGAATTTCATGCAACTTTGCAGCCAATTAGAAAAATTCTACAATGAGACTACAATTGTTCCAGAAGGATCTTTGAGAAGTTCCAAGTTCCCAGTCAATGTTTTAGACAGAAATAGCCATGCTGGCCTAGAGTATGCCATGGAACTCAGGGTATACCAGGCCCTTCCATGGGGTGGTTTGTATAGGGCCACATAAGGAAGTTCCATATACTGAAATAACAATGTATATACAACTCGAGTTTGTGGGCTCCATTCAGATTGGTAGGAGTTTCCTTCATGAGAAAGATGTATCAATAACAATCTCCCCCCATGCCTTGTTAACAAGTTTCACATGTCGGTTGTGTGACAGGCATCTCACAAGGTCGCTGTGAACCGGTGTAGGGGTGGGGAGGGGCTGGGCCTCCTTGGCGGGAGCCAACTGCTGGGGCTGGGAGTTGGAAGCCCCAGTGTTGTTTCTCTTAAAGAGTTGCTAGCATAGCCCTCAGATGTTATGATCCTACATGTAACTCACTGGGCTTATAATTACAGACTGCTTTGCGTGGCTTTAGTTTGCATTCTGAAATATAAGTTCCTGCTTAAAAATGTTATGACTTGAGCTGGTCATTATAAGCTTTTTATCCTGAAATTTAGACACAGGCTTAATAAAATGAAATAGCTCTATATTCAAAAATCTCAAAAGCTCTAGATCCAACTTAAATTTGAAGTTCAGACATTCAGGCTAATGTGCTCTCCCTAAAGTATTTACACAACAGTAACAAACTTTCTTGCAGAGCCTGGTCCTCTTTTGTGAAACCATTAGAATGCAACAAAGTATATTTTAGCATTTCAGATAATTTTAGACTATTTTATCTATACCGAGCTTAATATCTTGTAAGGTATAAGTTGAGAATTTGCAATGCTTAACAGAAAATTCTGTTTGGCTTCCTTAACACAGGTACAAATACATATTTGTATGTTTCTGTGAGGATACACTTGTGTTAAGCTGGCATGTCTATAGCTCTGTCAGAATCTACGTCTTTCACTTATTTTAAAGGTAATTATTTTTGGTCCAGAAGACATGTTAAAAATAAGAAAAAATGTTACTTATCTGGTTACTGTTTCTATTTTTCCTATTGTTGCTCTAGAAAATCATGAAGGAGTCCCTGGGTCATGCAAGTGGTTAATGTGCTTAGCTGCTAACTGAAAGGTTGGCAGTTTGAGTCTACCTGGAGGTGCCTTGGAAGAAAGGCCTGGCAACCTACTTTTGAAAAAAGCAGCCATTAAAAACCCTATGGAGCACAGCTCTACTCTGATGCACATGCCAAGAGTCAGTGTTGACTCGATGGCAACTGGTTTGGTTCAGCGTTTGATCTACTCTTTAGTTTGGGAAGACGTTGTTTAATTCTGCATATACTACCGCTTGCTGTACACAGGGACACAGCGTTCATGCTGGAAACTTGAGCCAGATATCTCTGCTATAAACTCAACCCTGTGTCTCCATTAGTTAAAAAAAAAGAGCGAGAAGCAAAGAGGGAGAGCACAGAAGGACAAGCACAGGAGAACCATGTTAGTGTCAGAGCAAGGAAAGAAGGGCTGTCAAGAGCGTGTGGCAGATGTGAGATGCCACGTTACCTTCTTTTCCTTGGGTGGGACTGTGGCCCCGGGCCTAGTGTCTTTAACGTGACCGTCAGTCCGCGACTGCTCTGCGTGACTGTTTGAAATTACATCCATAAAGGAACACTTCTGGAATGCCTAAGGAATTAAAATACTGAGGTTAACACGGATCCAATTGCTACGGAGGAGAAAAGAGGGAAACAGAGAATCCAGAGGCGTGCAGAACCCAGCCCAGCATGCGAGGCAGCACCTTGAAAACCTGCACTCCATTTGACCGCCTGTCTGCAAAGCCTGCTTGGGGAGAAGGCACAGGGCCAAGGGCTCCTTACCTTCCTTGGCCATGCCAAGCTTAAATGCAGTGCTCGTAAAAATAACACCCTCTCTCCCTATCCAGTGGGGAACTTGTTTGCACTTAGTAGGGCTTGTTGCTTTCACTTTATTTTTTTTTAAATGTTGAATGTAAACAAATGAAAACAAAACAAGAAGTTCTCTTTGCTTTCATTTTTATATATTTTCTTTTCCTTTTACCAGCTTTATTGAAATGACAGGAAAAAAGCCCACAAGACATTTTAAACCTTCATGTCTTAAAATAACAGAAATCCTTACTGATTCAGTCTCTGGAATACTAACAGCTACTAAAGTGTTCTGAGGCTCACATCAGAATAAACGAAGTGATGTTCTTAGCAGCCATGGGGTTTTGTGTGGCCTAGGAGCTGCCTGAGCCCTATAGACTGGTTTTGGAAAACAAAGGATCACCATTACAGGAGACAAAGGCCAGTTTATGTAAACACTGAGTCCAGTGCCCAGGCCCAGAGAGACACACAAGAAAGTATAGGCTGTGTCTAAGAGGCAGAGTCTCTGAGTGGTACAAACGGTTAAGTGCTCAGCTACTAACTGAAAGGTGGTCGGTTTTCAAAGGTGGATTTTTTGGAAGATTGCCAGAACTGTCTTCCGAGGTGCCTCTGGGTGGACTTGAACCTCAAAACCTTTCAGTTAGCAGCCAAGCACATTAACCATTTGCACCACCCAGGGACTCCAACAAAGCACTAAACCAAACCAAACCCATTGCCACTGAGTTGATTCCAACTCACAGCGACCCTATAGGACAGAGTAGAACTGCCTCATGCAAAGTGAACATTCACTAATAATCAAGGAAGTCTAGACCTTTAGGCTTGTAAATATTCCTGCACTGGCCCTCGGAGAGAAATAGTTCATTTCTCCATCCACTTTCAGCCCTGCACTTGACAATATTGACCTCCATTGAAGTCTGATATCTTTGATGCTCTCTTGGACTGAAAGCTTTACAAAGTTGGAGTATGCAGCTTGTTGCTCTATTTTTGATGTTAGGGAATAGTGGTGAGTGAAATGCTCAAATCCTAACCTATCCAAGCCTCATTAGCCCTCCTGCTAAGACAAGGACCCAAGTCTACCCAGAAGCACCTTGGAAGTCTACTTTCGAAAGATCACAACCACTGAAAACCCTATGGAGCAGTTCTACTCTGAAACACATGGGGTTGCCATAAGTTGGAATCAACTCAACAGCAATTGGTTTGGTTTCTGTTTTATAGGGCAGGAAGGAAAGCAGGCCATCTGGTGAATATCCAGACAATATGATCACAAGAGCAGGAGAGACCCAAGTTCATTGAAATCAGTGGTTTTCCACCTGGGCTTCATATCACCCAGGTGTTTTGTTTGTTTGCTTGTTTTTTAATACTGTTTTCCCGGGCCTGCTCAGAAATTAATTAAGTCAGAATCTCTGAGCTGTAGGAACTTATTATTTTTTACTCTCCAAGTAATTCCAATGTGCAACCAGGATTAAAAACCACTTATTTAAATGCATCATCTTAAATAATTGCCTAATATTTTCTTTATATCAAATAGTGTCATTTGGAAGTAACCCTGCAGGCAGAAAGAATAATCCACGTTTTCCCCAAATTAGTATTTCAGCACTAGTCCCAAAATACAAATGCAGCTGATGACTAGAAGCCTCCTCTGACTTCCTCTTGTTCTGCTCTGCCTCACTCCCTCTGTTCCCACCTTACTCGGCCTTCTTTCTGTTCTTTGGATGCACTGGTCCTAGGAAGCTAGGATCCAAGCCTCCCAAAGGCCACTAACCACCTCCTTTGGGCTGTTAGTCCTGGATTTGAGAATCCCGTGGTTTCTTCTGATGCCTGGTGAGAAGGAGAATGGGAGCCTATTCCACCCCTGTTCTGGGCGGGGGCTGCAGCCTCTCCTTGTCTTGACTTAGGTTGAGCTCCAGAGCCTGCAGAGGCAAAGGACACACTGGCCATAGGCAGTTCTGGTTCGGCAGGCTGGGTCCTATGGTCTTAGGAGGGCTAATGAGGCTTGGATAGGTTAGGATTTGAGCACCTCACTCACCACTATTCCCTAACCACCAAAAATAGAGCAACAAGCTGCACACTCCAACTCTGCAAAGCTTTCAGTCAAAGAGGGTATTATGGATTGAATTGTGTCCCCCCCAAAATGTGTATCAACTTGGCTAGTCCATGATTTCCAGTATTGTGTGGTTGTCCACCATTTTGTGATCTGATGTAATTATCCTATGTCTTGCAAGTTCTAACCTCTATGATGTTAATGAGGCAGGACTAGAGGTGTTATGTTAATGAGACAGGATTCAATCTAAGGATTAGGGTGTATCTTGAGTCAATCTCTTTTAAAATATAAAAGAGAGAACTAAGCAGAGAGGAGAGGGACCTCATGCCACCAAGAAAGAAGAACCAGATGGGGAGCGTGTCCTTTGGACCCAGGGTCCCTGGGCTGAGAAGCTACCAGACCAGGGGAAGATTGATGACAAGGACTTTCCCTCAGAGCCAACAGAGAGAGAGAGAAAGCCTCCCCTGGAGCTGGCACCCTGAATCCAGATTTCTAGCCTTCTAGACTGTGAGAGAATAACTTTCTCTTTGTTAAAGCCATCCACTTGTGGTATTTCTGTTATAGCAGCAATAGATAACTAAGACAGAGGGCATCAAAGATATCAGACTTCAGTGGAGGTCAATATTCTCAAGTGCAGGGCTGTAAGTGGATGGAAAAATGAACTATTTCTCTCAGAAGGCTACTGCAGGATTATTTACAAGTCTAAAGGTCTCGACTTCTTGATTATTAATGAATGTTCACTTTGTACAGATTTAAAATTATCTAGTGCTTTGTTGGAGTCCCTGGGTGGTGCAAACGGTTAACACGCTTGGCTGCTAACTGAAAGGTTGGAGGTTCAAGTCCACCCAGACGCACCTCGGAAGAAAGGCCTGGTGATCTACTTCCAAAAAACCAGCCACAAAAAACTCTTTGGAGCACAGTTCTACTCTGATACACATGGGGTCACTATGCGTTGGAATGAACTGAACAGCAACTGTGTGTGTATGTTTTCAGTGCTTTGTCATCCATTTAAACAAAACTGGGTTGTGAACTCACACCATAACTCCATAATTTGGGGGCAGAAACATACAACGACCCCAGAATCTGCCTGAAACACCTTAGGAAAAGCACCAGTCCCCATCAACAAGTGGCCTTGACATGCCAGTATCATCAGCCAAGGGTCCTCACTGGGCAACTGAAAGATGGATGTTCCTTGCTCTCCACTGTTTCATGAGCCACTATCTTCACAAATCTCTGTGTCCTATGAATTAAACACCAACCATTCTGAAAGCCTGTACATAGTCTAACTGGTTGAGGGATATCCCAGACCCATCTATTAATTTTAGGGAGAGGCTTCAAATGGCTCATAAGTGACAGATCAACCAACAGCTTTGTTTTCCTGTGAAACCCAAGCAGCCAACGTTGGCAGTCATCACCATGGAAACCAGAGTAGGACAGCTGCAGTGAAGATGACGTGATTTTAAAGTTCTCTCTTCCCCAAATGAAAAGTGCAGACCATGGGCCTGCAAAAAAACCATCAGCACACTGCTGAAGAGGCAGTATCCTCTGGAGTCTATGGAGGCTGTGGTCTGAGCATTTGATGGCAGAAAAACTGTGTAATAAGCATGGGTCAAAACGAAATACTCTGCAAATAGACTGTGTTTTAGAAACTGTGTATATGTCTCTGATTAGACAAGTTCTTAGAACATAAACCTAGGGCAGACAAATCCATGATTTGAATAGCTTTGGATATAGCCCCTGTACCCCATTCTTTTTTTAAAATTATAGATATACAGATAAAGATAGATTAATTCAGGTTAAAAAATTTTTTTTAAGCAACAGCTCCCCATTTCCTCCTCCCTTCCGCCCCTAGAAACCACTCATCTACTTCCTGTCTCTGCATTTGCCTATTCTAGATACTTCATGTAAGTGGGATCATACAATATTTGTCGCTTTGTATCTGACTTATTTTCACTCAGCATGTTTTTAATGTTCATCCATCCATGTTGTAGCATGTATTAGAACTTCTCTTTATGGCTGAATAACATTGTATGGATATACCACATTTTGTTTATCTCTTAATGGGCACTTAGGTGGTTTGTACCTATTGGCTACTATGAACAATGTGGCAATGAACACGGTTGTACATCTATTTGAGTTCCTGCTTTCAGTTCTTTTGGGTATATACCTAGGAGTGGAATTGCTGGATCAAATGGCAATTCTATGTTTATTTTTTTGAGGAATCTGCACCCTACTCTTAATTCTATGAGTGGACTGTGTCAGTTAGTTAAAAACTAAAAATCTAAAAGTATCATTTCCCAAACAGGCCAAAGAAAATGGGAATGAAACTATTCAGCTTTTCAGAATATCTGAAACGACAACATTCACACAGAAAGGGAACCTGGTATTCAGTGTAGGAGGCCACATGAGTCAAGGTCAATCCTTAAGAGGGGAAAATGACTGGTATTTGTAATCCTCATCTTAACAGCTTTTGAAATGAAGCCAAGAATATTAGGACTGAAAAAAAAGGAAATAAATCCTTCTGCTAGAGCTGGGAAAGTTTGCAATAGATTCTTTGAATAAACTTTCCAGAGTCGTTTTGTGGGATGGTCATTCCTCACACTCATCTGAAAGAGCCTAGGTGGGCGCCATCTTGGAGGAGTGGAGTCCACGCACAAGGATGCAGCTTAAACGCCTCCAGTCCACTGGGCTCTTTGCCAGCATTTTCTATCTAATGAATCTAAGAGGCATGGTAAGAGTCCCAGATGGAAAGACAGGGAGCTTTTTGTGAGTCACCTCTTCCACATACCTGTAGTTCTGCCATTATTTTGTCTCCTTCTTCTTCTTCTTCTTCTTCCTCCTCATCCTTTGAGGAGGAGGTAGTAACTGGTGGTGGGGCTTGGGTCCAGGCAGAAGCAGTATCCTCTGTTGCACATTTTGTGACTCTAGCCTGTGGGATTTGTCCAGCATCTTCACTGCTTGCCTAAGGGAGATTCAAATCACAGACACTGGCTTAACACTCCCGGGTGCTGGCAAGAAGAGTGACTGATTACAAGAGCACATGTTCCTTCACAGCCTCGTACCTTGGCTTCCTAGCTCTTTGAATCTCGCCGAAAGGCTATTTTACCCCTTTGCATTCCGTTTCAGTTTTGTTTGCACAGGGTTCATTTTGGTGAATAGACTGACAACTAATAATAAAATTCTAACTCCTCAATGTTCAGTGCAATTACTACATCTCCTTGGAAATCGTATTTTACATTTAACATAAAAGACAAAACTTGCAAAGTTAAGTGGAAACTAAAGCTCACTTAACATCTTTCTGTATAGACCCTACAACTGTGTTACCTAATCTCAGTTATCTCTGAAAAGTGGTTTTTCTTTTGCTTCCCCTTTTTTCATTTTATGATGTCCTGCTTGGCAAGTAGTTTGTGATTTGCATTTTACATTGTTGCAGTCAAAGTCAAGTAAGGGTAAAACTCCTGGTGCTGAGTCTAATCCAGCAACACTGGCTGACATTTCCCCATCTGTGCACTTCCTGGATATCTGTTCAGCTGATTCTCTCATTTTCTTCTCCACCTCACTACTTTATATGTTCCAAATGAGAACAGAGAGGGTCTTGTCTGACAGCATCATCTAAGCACAGAAACCATTTTCCCAGGGTTTAGCCCATCGGACCTTTGCAGAGGTGGTCTCCTTCCTGCTGGTGTAGACCACGTCGCCCGACCTCGTGGTGGTAAGCCCGGATCCTGGCAGGTAGCTCCGACGTGGGGGTGGGGGTGGAGGGGGTGGGGACTTTCCCCCCAGCTTGTCCAAGTCCTGTTCTGAATTTGGAGAGTCTTCTGGAAAACAGTGTGCCATTGCAAAATAATCTCTTTTCAAAATAATGTCCATAAAGTTTAATGTATTTCTATAAACTCAACACAACTCGATTTTAAAAAATTAAACCCATGGCTGATAAGTCAATTATGACTCATAGCGACACCATGTGTTACAGAGTAGCACAGCATGGTAGGAAGCAATTGCCAGGCCTTTCTTCCATGGTGCCGCTGAGTGAGTTCAAACCACCCACCTTTCAGTTAGTAGTCAGGCACAAATCGTTTGTGCCACCCAGGGACCTGATCTGACTTAAAAATCTCTTTTCTCATGCAAATCAAAACTACAGTGAGATACCATCTCACCCCAACAAGGCTAGCGTTAATCCAAAAAAACACAAAATAATAAACGTTGGAGAAGTTGTGGAGAGACTGGAACACTTATACAGTGTTGGTGGGAATGTAAAATGGTATAGCCACTTTGGAAATCGATTTGGTGCTTCCTTAAAAAGCTAGAAATAGAAGTAACACAGGATCCAGCAATCCTGCTCCTTGGAATATATCCTAGAGAAATAAGAGCCGTCACATGAATAGATATTGCAGGACTGTTCACAATAGCAAAAGGATGGAAACAACCTAGGTGCCCATCAACGGACAAATGGATAAACAAATTATGGTGTAATCACACAGTGGAATACTACCCAACAATAAGGAACAATGATGAATCCGTGAAACATCTTATAACATGGAAGAACCTGGAAGGCATTATGCTGAGTGAACTTAAGTCACAGAAGGACCAATATTGTGTAAGACCACTATTATAAGAACTCAAGGTTTAAACACAGAAGAAAACATTCTTTGATGGTTATGAGGGTGGGGTGGGAGGGAGAGGGTTATTCACTAACTAGATAGTAGACAAGATTTATCTTAGGTGAAGGGAAGGACAGCACACACTACAGGGGAAGTCAGCATAACTGGACTAAACCGAAGCTAAGAAGTTTCCTGAATACAACCAAACACTTCAAGGGAAAAGTGGCAGGGGTCTGGGGACCATGCTTTCAGGGGACATCTAGGTCAACTGGCATAACAAAGTTTATTAAGAAAATGTTCTGCATCCTACTTTGGTGAGAGGCGTCTGGCTAGCGAGTGGCCATCTAAGATGCATCAATTGGTCCCAACTCACCTGAAGTAAAGGAGAATGAAGAACACCAAAGTCACAAGGAAAGTATTAGCCCAAAGACAGAAAGGGCCACGTAAACCAGAGACTTCATCAGCCCGAGACCAGAAGAACTAGATGGTGCCCTGTCAATAACCACCTTGACAGGGAACACAACAGAGAGTCCCTGACGGAGCAGGAGAAAAGTGGGGTGCAGAACTCAAATTCTAGTAAAAAGACCAGACTTAATGGTCTGACTGAGACTGGAGGAACCCCAGAAAGCATGGCCCCT